CTGGTATAAAATAAAAATGAAAAAGTATTTTAGTTAAAGTATCACTTTAGGGCATGAGGATGTATGTTTTGAGTGCCAAAAATAAGCCAGGGATGATTATTTGATGCTTTACATACGTAACTCATTTCATCCTCATAACAATATTGAAAGGAAGTGATAATAATAAAAACAGTAATAAATAATACATTTGACAATATAACAGTTACACTTATTGGGTACTTACTATGGGCCAGGTAATGTACTAAATACTTTATACACGTTTCTGGTTCAATTATTACGTCCATTTTGCAAATGAGTAGGTGGAGGCTCAGAGAGGTTAAGTGAGGTTTCTCCAAGGTCACAGAGCCAGTGAGCAGCAGAGCTGGGCACTTCACCTTATAGATGCTTCATTTTATATCATTGAGAAAGAATACTGAGGAATGTCAGAAAATGTTCAAGAGCATCGGGAATGATTCATTTCCAACATTCTCAATCAGAGGGAATCCAGCCAGCAAGTGGTTGCAAAGGGAGTCTGTTGTATACATCTGACTTGGAAGAAGAAAATACTGATAGGACAGTGAGTTCCTTGGCTTCCTCATCCAGACTGTGCATGTCAGTGCTTGTGTCCCCTCCTTCTTGGCCAGTAGCTCAGTCCCTAGGCAGATTAAGTTGTTAGAAGGATGGTGGTCAGCCAGAGATCACAGATGTGCGAAAGATGGCTTTTAAGAAGGCTCGGTGTCCATAACTGGATTCTCCACTGTGCAGATTCCTTGATGGGCCACTGTTTGACGTTTGCCGGTGCCGTTCATGGGCTGCCTCTTCTAAATTTCCCTTGGCGGTAGTCTTAGTCCCTAACTCCAGCACTGGGCTTCGTTGATTTGTAGGTGGAATTTGCAAGTGTTAAGGGGTCCTGTACTGTTTGTTTCTAAGGCACAGTTTCAAAAGAAAATGGCATTTTATAGACTGCATTAATGGGAAATTACTTTCCATTAGGATTCTGAATGATTTGCACATAATGTTTATAAAGTGAAGGAAAAATGTCAAGCATTTCACTAACAATTTAAAGCAAAGCTCACAGGACTCTGCCAGAAATGAATTCCAAGAACATTTTCTTCAACATTTCTTCTTTCTAAAGAAAAAAAAAATGCGAGATGAAAGGACGGAGATCAATTAGGCAGAATCCATTGTGGGACTGAGATGGAATCTTTGATAATACCACTTCTAGGTACTTAAGAGAATGAATAAAGTGAGCCAAAAATGGAGAAGAGGAGGTGGTGGTGGAAATCACATCTTGAAATGATGGATTGCAGACAAAATCCAAGTTTAGGCCCTGGCTAGGAGAAACCACTGCCTGTCCAAGCCCCTGAGTGTGGGGTCATGACGCTCCATCAGCATACGCTGCCTCTGTGTCCCCAAAGAGAAAGGGAAGCCAAGAAAAGTCTTCCAGCTCAAACGTGTGCTTGGGTCGTTCCCAGAAAACCCTTGGCTTTGAGAAACATAGTATAGGAACTTGTGACCTATACTCAAGTACCTCCCCTACCCTGGGTAAGGTGTCATTTGCTGAATTATAAATGTAAAGACTAGAGGACAGAGTGTAATTTATGTTTTTTTATCAGCTCATGTATTTATGAAGGCTTTTTCTTTTCCCTGCTGTTCTTAAAGAGGACACCACTTTATATAATTACAACTAAGGGTTAATTGGGCCCAAACTGAGATCGGCTTTAAGAAAGTGAAAGGCTGAAATGAGTGAGCGAATGTGGGTTCCAAATGTGAGCCCCTGGCATTTCAGAGCGAGGCAAAATCAATCTCTCAACTGGCTTCCATTAAGACATTCTAACTCCCTTTAGGTATAAAAGAAACTTTTATAGACTTCTTGACACTTCTGAGGGGGCTCGGATATTATGTCTAGAGCCGAAGTCATTCCCCTCATTGCAGTGAAATCTCTAGGATTACACTGGAAAACAAACATTTATTCAAAAGTCAAGTGTGAAATTTGGAACTTAAAGGAGAAGAGCACTCTGCAAATAGAGATATATGTATTTTTAGCCTAAATTTCCAAAGAGGAAATTAAAATTTCACACAGCAGTGACAATGGGGATTGCCCAGTCAGCAGGTTTTCTGTTTTTTCACTTTTTCTCTTCTGTCCTTTCCACTCTTTTCTTTTTTTCCCCCTGCCACAAGCCCTCCCCCGCATCCATTTCTGTGTTTATCAGTAGTGCTTCAGAGTCAGAGTTACTGACAGAAAAGTAAGCAAGGAAAAGAATTCCCATGTTGTAATTCAGATACTGGCACTTATTTGCTGTGTGACCTTGGGTGAGTTTCTTAACATCTCTGGACTGACTTGTACTTGTCCCTAAGTGAAGTGATTGGACTCAATACATTACAGGTTTCTTTTCCAACTCTAAATTCTGTGGCTGCAATATTTATCTTTTATGAGTACTCAGCATTCTTAAAAATTTGAAAAGTGCACAGATTGAATGTTTTATATTTTCTGTATTTTAAAAAATATTATTAAAAATTAAAATGTGAACTATGATTATTATTGTTGCCCAGTAGTCACTGATGCAGGGAAGGAGAAGGGTCCTTTTCCCATTTTTCATCTCAAGGACACTTTAGAGGGAAAGGTTTTCTCACTAAAAGAAATAGTTTCCTGTAATTCTTCTAAATAGTCTGTAAAAAGAGTTTTTGAAAAGCCTATAGGAGGTAACTTCTAGTATAGTTGTAGGAATTTTAATACTACTTGGCTAAAATGGTTATATTATCTCAAATGCATATTTTAAAACCTTAATATATTTTCTATAATGATATGTTTGGTCTTTAAGCTAAAATTTAAAATGCCATCATCTAATTATTAATATATGCGCTTCTGTTTTAAAAAATGGTGTAGAAGTTAGGGATTACAAACAGGGCACCTATGCAGCACAATTCCAGAGGACTTTATGTTTGAATTCACATGAGTGATGCCCCCTGGAGCTGTCGAGTGGGTGCGGCCTCGGCTACAAACCCTAATGCCAGATTATGGGAACGAGAGACTTAGGGGAAGTGTAAGAAAACAGCGCCGGGCCAGTGATAGAAGTCTGACGGCAGACCTCCACGTCAGGAGCACGACAGGCAGAGGGAGTCTGTGGCCAGCTTGAGAACACGTGCCCTGTCCAAACAGCGGCTGCTTGTTGCCCAGGAATGTGGACCTAGGGTAGCCAGCCTTTATGATTTTCCAAGAGAAGCCAGAAATCCTATATTTGTGTGCCATCTCCTGATTTTTAAATACTGGCAACTAATGCACCCTGCACAAAGCAAGGAGGAGGCCAAGCAAAACACCATCTGCAAGCTGGTCCCTAGGCCAGCAGCCAGGAAGCCAGCTCTGATTAAGGCTGTCATTTGTCCTCCCTCTTCCCTTAGCGCAGAGTGGCAAAGGCAACCCACAAGCGCCGGACCTGGTTGCAGCAGAGGGCTCACCTCCCAGGAAGCTTCGATACATAAATGGGCTGTGGCTTCTGAGAAATCTGTGGAAGTTCATCTCAGTACACGAGGGGAGGCTTTGTAAGGGTGGAGGGCACAAAGTCTGCTAGTTAAACCCATCTTATATAACCCGCGTAAGTTGTGGAGGATTGGTACTAAGGTTAAAACAAATTACAGGGGCTTATTTTTATAGATTATAATGAGTAAGCTTGAGTTCCATTGACAGGTCATTTTAATAAATCGCATCTCTTATGGATAAATACCGGGTTCTTATTTCCAGAAAGCTAGTTCATAGACTTTTACTAGACTTTACTGACTAGTTTACTACTTAACTGTCTTAGCTTGAGCTGCTACTAAGTGGCTTAAAACAACAAACATTTATTTCTCACAGTTCTGGAGTCTGGGATGTTCAAGATGAAGGTGCCGGCCGATTCAGTGTCTGGTGAGGGCTCTCTTCCTGGTTTGCAGATGGCTGTCTTCTCACTGTGTCTGCACACATTGGCACTAATCCCATGCATGTGGGCTTCACCCTCATGACCTTATCACCTCCCAAAGGCCCCACCTCCAAATACTATAGCTTTGGGGATTAGGACTTCAACGTCTGAATTTTGGGGGGGGACACAAACATTCAGTCCACAGTATTAACCACAGATTAATATTTAAAATTTGCAGGTAAGGAAACCAGGGCCCAGATTTGATCTAATCCAGAGCTAGAACCCAGGGATCTGAAAATTCTATCCCATATGTTCTTATCAAGTAGACAAAACCAGTATTTTAGTATTTATTTAGTATTTAGTTGAACAATAGATTGTATGGTATTTATCAGAGTTATGCACCAATGCTGTGACTGGGTCAGCTTAAAGTGTTAGCTTCAAAAATTTTTTGTTACAAGAGCTTGCGATTTTAGATCAGAAAAAACCAAAAAATGATAATTTTTGATGGAAGCTTGAACCAGATATGCTCGTTCTAATTCAAAAGAGAGAGTGTCTATTGGGTTGGGGGTGGTGCCTGGCCCAGAGTAGACACTCGGTGTTGGAGAATGGGTCTGAACCAGAAACAGACTTGGAAGTTGCAGGTCAGTTTTTGCCCCAGCATGGTAAGAGGCGAACTCTCTAGTTAGAGGGCACAGGTATAGTGAGTCTCAGGGGGATCTCGGGTCCCCTTCCTAACAGGGCTACTGATTCTACCTGGCATCAGGCGCTTCCCTCCCTGTTCCTTAGCTGCCCCATGGGTAGCAGAGATAATATGGAAACACCTCTGAGCCCTGGACTTGAGACCAGGAAGCGAGCAGAACACAGGCTCACCCAGCCAAGACAGGTGTCACCTGCAGGCCTTACTGTTAAGTGGGTCAGAAGGAGACCCTGGCTTTCACTCCATACCTCTGGGTCTCAATTCTGTCATCAGAAGAACGGGAATTATTGCCCCAACTGCACAGGGTTCTTCGAAGGATTAAGTTAGATCATGTAAATAAGAGGTGCTGGGCAGGACTGGTACTTCTACAGAGTAAGAGCCTTGAGCACAGCGGCTGTTAACACTACCTTATTGGTTATCTGATTCCCCAGCCTACAGCAGATTGGAAGCAGCAGATTAGAAAGGCCTGAGGGACTGCTTCGGGAAGGCCCACTGACAGCAGGAAAAAGTGACAGGTCGCAGCCTGACTACAAGGGAGGCAAGAGAGAAACTATAAAAAGCAGGAACAAAAACTCAAAAGGCACAGCAGTCTGGGGCACTTACTAAAAGACAAAGAGCCCTCCTCAGGTCAGTAACTTCCAGTAGACCCCATACCTCGTACCCTGATGGGCACTTATGTCGACAGCAGTTGTGTGAATTACCTCTTTCCATCCCCTTTCCCTACCACCAAAAAAAGAAAGAAAGCAGGAGCAGAGGGGTGTTGTAACTGGCCTTTCCACTGGGATGCTCTGACCAAATGCTTCTGGGTAATGAAATTCCCAAAGTCAGGACCAGCAGAGAAGAAGAGAGTATGGTGGGCTCCTCTGGTGGTCTGAAAATAAGCCGAGGTCAAGGACAGCTAAAGAGCTGTGATTTTTAGTGCTACAGAGAGAAGGATGCCCCCTGCCCCTCTGACCACGCCTTCTCCCTCCGCCTCTATCTCCTTCAAAGTCGGGATTAGAAATACAGCCTTTGAGAACAGGCTGGCAGATCCTGGCATGTGGCAGAGAGGGAGTAGGGAGGGAGCACATGAGGTGGCCAGGCTGCAGGAATGCCAGTCCCGTCAGGTGGCATCTCCACTCTGGTGTCTAATCCATTACCTGGAGTAGACACGTGGTTTTGTTTGGTTATTTATGTACTTATTCTAATGGAAGCCTGAGATGCTCACTTTGAAGCAGGACAGAGAATAAGCACCTGAAGGACATCCCTTGAGTGACTGGCAAGGAGAGATGGGCTGTGGGCAGACCCCCCGGGATCAGAGAAGGACTTAGGGGGTGAACACGCCTAAGGAACGTCCCAATGCCCGGAAGCTCCCAGTGCACGCCCAGGTGAGGATCCCCCAGCTCACTCCGAGCCCAGCTGATGGGCCACCCCCTCGGCCGGGGTTGGGTCAGAAGCTGAGTGGCATGCATTCACTAGCTAATGATTTTCAGAGCGGGCACATGCCATGGTGGTCCAGAGCACAGACCCTGGACCTAGACGGGGGTCACGTCTCAGACTGCTGTTTAATTGCTTTGAACCTCAGTTTCTCCATCCATCAATTGAGGGAAATAGTGTTATCTTATCAGAGGGAGGGTTTCTCTGAAAATTGAATCTGCTGATATCTCTGAGGCATTTCGAATATTGTCCTGGCACATGGTAGATACTAAAAATTGAGAGTTATTATTTCATCCCTGTGGCTGACTGGGACTGCAGAATTAATTGTGGGACAGCCGCTATCGGAATAAAATGTGCCTGGCAGTTCTGTACATGTGAGTTGTCCTTTGCAGCAGGGACTTTGGGAAACAAAAGGTGGGGTCAGAGGAAGGGCATCCAAAGAATTTTCCTGCTGTTAAAATAAGAGGGGACTCAATATTGTTAGGAACTGGACCACATTATTGCCAAGAGGGAAGGGAAATTTATTTTAGGGAGAATGCGATTTCCCTGCTTATTGTGTGTTGCCGATGCAGTACTGACTGACCGGCTACCTTAAAATTCTCATGGTAGGGTCTCTCTTTTTCTTTCCCTAATGATGTGGAACAGAGCTTGAATAATAAATATTTAACAGGGACACTCCCTTTTCTCTGTTAAAATAATCTTTGTTTCAGCGCTTTAACAAGGAAGACTGTGTTTTTCCCACCTCTGCTCTCATGTTACGTGAAGCCAGGTCTCGGGAGTGAGAGAAAATAAACATGGGCGACCCCGCCAGGGCAGGAGGAGAGGCGGCCTCCTCGCTGGACGGCTGGGGCTGGGGATTCGGCTGCCTGTTCTAGAGCGCGCACGGCCACGGCCACGGCCACGGCCACGGCGGCCGGCCGGGAGCTCACATGCACCAGAAAGCGCAGAGGTGGAGATGGTGGCGCGAGACCCCAGGGGAAAAGGGGGTTGCTGTTCAACAAAGACGGGGCGCCAGGTGGGACCCATCCTTTCTGCTGGGAAGATCTGGGCAGAGACGTGGCTTCGGATCCTGGGAAGCCAGGCACTCGGGCATCTAGCGCACGTGTGTGCCTCGTCCAGTTGGAAAGATCCCACTGACGATATGTCGCCATTCTGCCTGCTCTTTTGGGTTCCACCTCTGGTGACACTGACTTACCCTTTGGGGAGAGGGAAAATTCACGCACTGTGACTCAAGTGGGCACGGACTTTATTTCTTTATCTGAACTTACTTATGAGCCTCCGTTTAGACCAATGGTGGAAACAACTTAATCTTTTTTCCATTTCTACTGTTGGCCAAAAACAAAAAAAAAATTAATCTTTTTTCCATTTCTTCTAATGGTGGAAAAAAATGTAATCTTGCCATTTCAAGGTAACTCCGTCCCTTCCAATAGAAAGCACAGACTGTCCACCTATTGCTTCGTCAATTCGAGATTTAAACCCAGTCAATTCAGTTGAAATTTGCTGTCAGGACTATTGGTTTTTCCTCAAAGGTTCTCTCCTACCTCCTTCTCTACCCCAGGAGGTTGCCTGGGCGCACGGGGGAGTTGAGGGAACTTTACGGTGACAGGTGAGGAAGCTTGTCTCAGTCTCAACTGCTCCCACAGCTGAGATAACTTGTCACTCAGGGCTGGCCTGGGTCTGGGGCCCAAGCCTCTACCTCTGGGTTGCCAGATCTCTGCATTCGGAGCCTGTGTGCCCACCCCCAGGCCCTCTCTGGTCCACTTGCCCCCTCGGCCCTTCCTCACTTCATGCTGGGACTTGAGGAGATGTGTTCACAGTTCATGGGGAGCCCACGGTTGCCCCCCCCACCGCTCCCTCTCTGTTTAATTACACCACCTGCCATTTCCACTGTGCTCAGCGCCCCCAGGTTGGTAGGTCACTTGGATAGCCTGCTTGTCCCAGAGTTTCACGGGGAAGTGGGGCTAAGAGACCCGAACCCAGGGGTGGAATCCAGGGAGCACTTCAGCCTTCTCGCCTGCCATCGTCTCTCTCCAGGCCTCTTCCCCGACTCCAGGAAGAGCTCCTGTCTCTGGATGGCAGGAAGCAGCCCTTCCCTCTCCACAACTTGTGATACAAATCTCTGTGCTTTGAGTTCTTCAAGCTCCTTGGAACCCAAAAGTCTCCACCCCCACCCCTTTGCCTCTTAAATCTCATAAAAGCCTCCCTGACTCTGGCATGAGAGCCGGAAAGCCTTGGCATCCACACCATTTCACAACTGAAATGGCATCATTTTTGAACTTCCAGGCTGAACATTGCTTGCTAGTCTGTGTGCAGGTCCACTGTTTCCCTAAAGTAAAGGGGCCACAGCTACTTGGGTTGATGGTCCCAGGCGGCAAAAACAACCCAGCCTGGACAAGTGCATCGGGTGATGTTTCAGAATATCGTCCTGCTGCGCGTGCCGTGCAGGAGCGCCGGCCCGGGCTCTGGTGGGGGTGGGCGTACCAGGCGCCCCTACTGTTGGGGCCTGTGCTCTGTGCAGGAAGCGGTGCAGAGGCAGGTGGAGAGTCAGGTGCTCGCACCTTCCCTGAGTCGGGGAACTCTTGCCTGGGGACTCTCCACACAGGGGTCTCAGGAGAGATGCCATGTTTTGGGTTCATTTGCTCATGGAGTGTGCTGTGAGGATGGTCGGTTTCTAGCTCTTAGAAGAGCAAAGCAGGCAGTGTGGGCAGTGGCCCCTCGCCTGGAATGAATGAAGCGAGAAGTGAGTAGCGTGTCTTTCCCCTGATTTGCTCAGTGTGTGGGGGCAGGAGCGCACACACAGGTCGTGGCTGGGGTGAGCACATGCCTGCCATTTGCTATTTATTTTAGTCATTGCAAGTGGCTTACAGGGTCAATGGGAAGAAAAAAAAATATATATATGTACATACACATACAATTAGGCCTGTAGTCGGTGTGACAGTCTGTGAAATTTCTTGACAACCTATGGCAGTGGTTGATCTATGGATCATGTAGGAGCTACCATCAGGAAGGCGGTCATAGGCTGGGGTCTGGAGCCCTGGTGTCTCATTCTGGCTTTGCCATTAGCCCTGGGGCCAGGATGTTGTGACCTCTCAGAAGCACTGATGCCTCTTTGTCAAAAAGAGGAGGGTTCACAGCATAGACATTTTGTGTTCAAGGAAATGCTTCCCAAGACCACCACGGGGCATGGCACCGACTCTGTCTCTATTAAAAACTGGTAGTGGGAGAAATGATAAAAGAATACTAATCATTTATCAGACCACATTAAAACAATTATTCATTAATAAAACTGACTTTGACTCAGTGGCTTGAACTGCCACAGGGATTCAGTGCCCAGCCCTCATCCATCTGCACACCCAGATGTGAGCTGTATTTCCAAAGGGAGATGGAAAGTTCTGTATCGCGAACACACGACTCCCCAGTGCCTTGAACTCATTGATGGTTATTCACTTCAAATTCAAGATAATGAACTGGGTCCCCCTATTTAAATCCTTCTGCTCCCCAGTTCACATCATGATATACAGACCGAGGGTGGGACAGGAGTCTGTCGTGGAAGGAGCCATCTAAATGCTGGAAACATCAGGTAGATTCTAGAGAGAATAGTGCAGGGTTGGGGGGAGGTCCAGTTTTTAAGATGCTGACCTACCTGGACGCCACCACCTGGGAAGGTGCTTCCAACCTAGAGAGGAAGAAGAGGTCCGCCCTCCCCGACCGCCCCCTCTGCCCTTTCCCTGCCAGCTCCCCCAGGCTCTGGTCCAAGGAGTTGGAGGAAAAGAGGGCCATTAGGCTGGTGGTTCACACCCTCTCTTAGAAATTGGAAACACCTGAGAAAATTTCAAAATCCTGACGTCTGGATCCCATTGCCAGAGCTTCTGACTTAATTGGTCTGGGGTTCAGCCTGGCTTTTTTAAAGTGCTGCCAGGCTGAGAACCCCTGCAGCAGAGGGAAATAGCGGGGCCACCTTAGTCCAACTCGGGACTGCCCTGTTGGAGAAATGGGTGCTACTCGGTGAATTTGCTTCCACCTCCCAGTCTCCCCCAGGACCAAGGGGCTTCTCATTTTTTTTTAACTGAAGTATAATTGACTTACAGTGTTGTAAAGGGCTCCTCATTTGACTAACCCAACTTTGTCTTCTCTCTTTAGTCGGATGTAAAAGACTTGGTGAGGAAGGAACTTGGTCTCGCAGACCTTGTTTGAACTCTCAGCTGAAGTCTGGACAGAGAGAGAAATAAGAATGTTTCATAATGATAGAGAAAGGGAATAGAAGGGGAAAACATAAAATAGGATGGCAGAAGTGAGATAACATATGCAGATATTTCAGTCATGGGAAAGCCCTCTTCTTAAAGGACAAACCCCATGAAACTGGCATGGTCTTGCCCCGGGATGCTGCCTCCCTGCCTCTGCAGACCTCCCTCTCTGGGGTGATGTAATGAGGACATGAGGTGTCTGCCATTGGTGGTATGCAGGCTTCCCTGGTCTCCCTCTGGGTGGCATGTTCTGTCTACTGGGATGGCCTGTGTCCATGTGGTGGTCTCATGTAGATGGAGCGTGTGGTTTTCCTGGGGTAGATTTTAGCCCCTTTCCAGCCCCATCTTCACTGGGACAGTCAGGTCTCCCTCGGAGCTCATCAGTGATGCTTGCCTTCCAGCCGCTCTGTGGGGCATCACCGCACTAGGCCAGGGCAGCCCCTCAGGCTCCGCACATGCTCTCACTTTTGGCTCTTCTACATGGAACCATGGGAACCACTGAGGCCACGTGCACCCTAGACTCTATAGGGAACTGGAGTGGAGCGACCATATGTCCTTCCCAGACACACCAAGCCACTGTCATAAGCTATCCTAGAAAGCATTCTGTCTTCAGAATCCCATAGGCCTAGATAATTGTGGGCATTTAAAAAAAATCAAATCTTCAAGTTGAAATATTTAAAAAAATAGAAAAACAGAGTTTATTTTATAAATTCTTTGACACCAAAACATGACCAGAATGTAAAAAGAAGTCATTTTACTTTAAAATATAGGTGTAAAAATATAAAATAGTAACAAATCCAGTCTAGACATAGGATAAATGTATAACACATAAGTATGATTTCCTCAAGGCATGCAATGGCCATTCATTTTAAAATAATCTTATAAAATTAATCTTATTATTACTCAAAAAATATGATCCAGTTAAAATGGAAATGAGGTTTTGTGGGAGAAACTCAATACATTGATACTAAACTTTACCTGGTTGAATGATTTCATGAGAATAGGAAATTTTGAAATATAGGCATACCTTGTTTTCTTATGCTTTGCAGGTACTGCTTTTTTTATATATAAATAGAAGATTTGTGGCAACCCTGCATTGAACAACCAAGTCTCTTGGCACCGTTTTTCTTATAGTATTTGCTTGCTTCATGTCTCTTTGTCACATCTGGGTAATTCTCACAATACTTCAAAATTTTTCATTATTATTATATCTGTTATGGTGATGTGTGAGCTGTGATCTTTGACGTTATTATTATAATTGTTTTGGGGCACCACACATTGTGCCCATATAAGGTGGTGAACTTGATAAATGTTGTGTGTGTTCTGACTGCTCCCCTTGACCTGCCGTTCCCCCATCTC